CTGCATGAATCTATAAAAAAACACATTTAAGAGAGTATAACCCTTTATTTCATAACAAGTTACTGAGTTTATTTTGTACTTATAATCATGAAAGTACAGAACACTTTGAACATTTGAGATCGATACCTTTGTCACATTCACAAAATGCTCCTAGAACAATGAGGCAGAAGCAGACAACATAACCATTGCAATCACAAGTCATAAAATTTTATTGTATGAAGCCTTTATATACACTTAATGAACACAAACAGCTGTTGTTACAGTGATTTATTAAGGCCCGAAATATATCCATTTAGGTGAACCATGTCTTAAAATCTGTTAATTAGCCCTTTCTTCTCAACTGCATTGCAGGTTCTTCTTAGCCATCCACAGACTTAAAGGCTCAATATACATTTCATTGTCCTAAAAATTTATTTATTTTGAGACAAATATTTCAAGAATTGTTTTAGAGTCAGAAATCAAATCCTGGATTTGTCTGGTTCCACAGCAGCCTATTTCTATTCACAGTCCTGTTTCTTTCCTCTCTTTGTCTAAATACACCCCTGTCCCCTCAGTTAGAAAGAAAAAAAAGTTATTTTAAGAGAAAGCCCTTTAAAAAGTAACACTATTTAAAAAATAATAACTTGGACAGAACTGCCTTATGATTTTTTTATTTTAGGATATTATTTTTTTCTTTATCTCTAATGTGGGAAAATCGAACATCAATAGAAAAAAATAAGCATTTGATTAACAATGTTCAAAGGAACAGCAAAGATTATAGTACATCCAGAATTTCCTTGCTGTGGTCTAGTGTCTAGTACACACAAATGTGTACAATACAGGACCGCCTCTCCCCTCAGAAACTCCATGACACTCAGTTAAAGTTCTCTATTAATCACAGCTTCATGTTTGTCACTTATACTTTCTTATTCAGGGGTTATCTTTCCTCCTTCTCAGTTGAACTATCACCAGAGCACTGACCTTCATCCTCTCTTACCGCATATGGAGCTTCCTACCTGGCTTTTCTTCCTCCAAACATCACACACTGATAAGATGAAACTTCCGCAGTGTCGCTGATGGCTCTTTGGTACTCAGGCATCTTTGTCAACTCTTCAAACGCATGGTATTACCCAACCTCCTGGGGATCATATTCTTGCCTCTCTACCATAGGCCTCTTCCTAGCGTCATCTTTGATTGTCTCCATATAAATCTTAACCTCCAATAAATCTTAACCTTAAAATAAAATTTTTATTGAAGCCCATGCTTCTGTTTCTTTATCCAAGCTGTTTACTCAATGGAAGGTGTGAGTTCTGTTAATATCACCTATTGACATACTGAATCTCAAGCTCCCATCTCTAAACACATATCCTCCAAGAAACGTTCCCCAAGTTCTCTTCCTTTAATTGTATAATCATCTGATTACATGTTCCTTGAGAGTTCATCTTTATGCATTCCCTACGGTATGTATGTATCTTATACATAAAAAGTGCATAATATTTGAGTTAGGTTATGTCACTTTCAATACGCAAACACAAACGCGGCTGAACTGACCTTACATTATAGAGCAATGTGGTCAATAGTGTTTGGAAACTCCATTTGGAAAGATATTTTGCTTTGTTTTTGTATTCTTTTGTTTTCATGGAGACTTAGTAAGGGTTTCTGTGAGGTGACAGTGGCTTCTCAAGGGCCTCCTAGCAGTGAAAAGCAGTGATGATCAATAGAAATATTATACAATATTTCTGGACTTTGTGTTGCATGACATTGAGGAATGACACAAATTTGATGATGTAAAGAAAAATAGCTTGGTCAAAAATTATTCTCAAAATCTTTGGGGTGAGAGAAATGCTAAATCATTAAACATCTATTGTATCACTTCAATTCTAACACTATGATCCATGAAATAATCTTAAGTGTGGTATCTTGCTACAGGTAATTTAGCAAGAGTCAAAATAGTCACTGCTATAAAACTTCAATAATTTTAGATGTATTTATTCATTTGTTATGTGATTATTAAATCTTCTATGTAATCAACATACAAGATGTATCTTGTTGTAACATATTGACTTGGAATGTAATTTCACATTTTACAATTATGGGCTCTTTGATGTGAAAGTACTCTCAACCATTTTTTTAAAATTCTAAATCATTGGCAAGCATGCTGCCCTCAGTTTTGGCCTTGCTCTTAAGCAAATATATAGCATATTTTATGAGCACATATTGATGTCAGAATATTGGAACACATTAAAGAAAAAAAGAAAACCTGGTGATTGTCCATTTATTTACACAGATTTACTTTGCTTTAAATTAGAGTTCATCCATTTTAAAAACTCCTCTATAAAATATGTCTTTAACTTAAAATAAATCCAATAAATTGTGGAATTCCTGTTCAAAATAAAACTTTGTAGTTAGACGAATTTACTAAGGAATTTGTCCCTTTCTCTAGTAAATTCCCAGATAATCTTAAGTGACTTTTGTTTGTTTGTTCTTTTCAGAAACTATTTGATATTTTAGGAATTAATTTCAAGTGAGTCTAATTTATCTTACCATGCAATTGTAAATCCAAGAGAATAAAGGTGTACCAGTCACAATATTCTTTCTCAGAATGTCTAGATCCTGGTCACTTATTTAGAAGGTGGTATATGTGAATTAACTTTTCCCCAAATGATTCTAGATCCTTCTGCTCATTATTCTTCTCATCCTCTGTATCCATTTTTTTAAGTTAGTGTTATAAACATTTAAAGTAGCTAGAAAACACATTCCAGAATCCAATAAATTAAGACATAACTCACAGGAGAAAGAGGAGGGTTTTTAAACAATTATTTCTCAAATGGCAAAACATTTTAAAGAGAAAAGAATAGGAATTCCACTGCAGTCCCTTGGAAAATACGTTCTATTTGATTTCTTGCAAAAGGAGTTGAACTGCACTTTTGCCCTTTTATTCTCACTTTTAGAAATAATATACGCATACCTCTTTTTCTGATGTACGTGTTTACATAAAACTGCACAAAGTACCACTGGCCTTGAAAAACAAAATGGTTGTTTTGATGGTATGTACAATGAAGGGATATAGAAAAACATCTTTTATTTTTTTTATCAATTTTATTTCCACTTGTAAATATTGCCAACATTCAAAGCCAGGTTAATGAAACACCAATGAGAAAATCAAAGCTACTTATACTAAGCATGTTTAAGTATTTTAAAATATAATCATGCTCAGACAGGCTTGAAAAAAAATCCCAGAATTAACTTTGCCACCATGATAATGAGCAAGTTGCAGCCAAAAACTGCATTCCTTTTGAGAATGCATTATGGAAATGGCTATCATACATTTGAATGAAGAGCTTTATTCTTCATGGGTACTTTTTAAATTTAACTCTAAATTAATGTTCACCTTAAGAATATCTATAAATTCTGGATGCTATACAAATGAATGCATGAATAACTCATAAATGGATATATTACATGGCCAAAGTTTAATTTGGCTCTCCATTCAAAACAAGCAGTGTCGGTGGATAATTGGGCATTATTGTTCAATTTATGCTTTTGTTTTCCCCCCAGAAGTTTATAAGCATAGTAAAAATTCAGACATATCTGGGGAGCACACAATGACATACATTTAGATTTGTAATAACTATACTCTAAAACCGTAAGTATAACATGACTGACCCTCACTCATGTATTCATTAACCATGTGAAGGAGTTATTGTATTAAAAACTAGAATGTCAAATGTACAGGTGATAGATTCATCCACTTAACAAGATAGGCTTTTATCAGAAACTTCATCCTGATAGTTGCTCTTGGCAATGGAAACCATTCTTAACTTTTATCTCCGAGATCACTCTGGAGATTTTCTAGAAAATTAGGTGATCGTGAATGAATACAGGTTTTTTAATAAACAATTGATATGCCAAACTAGTTACAAGAAAATAAAGATTAAAGCCTAACGTTAACTCCCTCTTAACAAAAGACATGTTTTGGAAGCTATTAACCAACAGGCTTTACATTAGAGTGAAACTTTCTCTGCTCCTGTGTCTGGTAATTTAGACCCCCACACTCATGCTCATTAGAGGTGCCTCTAACAGCACTCCACCTTTAACCTGACTTTTGGGCCTGCTACCATCTCCTAGAAAAGAGAATATTATAAAGATTTATAACAAAGTTGTAAAACTGACAGGGTCCAAATTTAGGAGATGGGAAAGGCAATATATGACAAATTCCTAAAACGGTGTTTCCAGAACTTTTCTAGTCTGAAAAATGTTAATAGTTCATATTTAAGACCATGCCCTCAGTATGAACTATTACTCAATTTGCTAGGTAATAATTCTTTAACCACAAAGCACAGTTCCTCAGTGTTTTTGTTAATTTAGGGAATGTAACACTTGCAGAGCATACAGAAAAAAATCAATTCTTTCTCCATTTAATTCCAGCCTTGGGAGAGCTAAATATTTCAGTGTTCACTCCTTTTACTACACAAATGCTAGGAAGTAGAGCATAATATGGTTAGATGTAACAATCTTATATTTTTTACTTTGTATTTTAAAAAGATGACTTTGGTGGTGTCCATCCTAGTTTGTAAATCATCAAAATATTATATATAATCTTATTAACGAATGTCACCTCAATAAATTAAAGTAAAAAAAATAAATCTAACAAGAGTTCTATTTGATACTGTCAGGAAATAGACTTCACTAAAACAGATAAAAAATTGGCCTTTTAATTATGTAAAATTGGCATGTTATTTAATTAATAAAGTGTTTATAAATAAGTTAATTTCTTCCTTGGAGTTAAACATCTTGAAAATAAATCCCAGGAAATCATGGCTTTATGTTTTTAAAATCCTCTATTCCAAATAGGGCATACAAATAAAAAGAAAGAAAAAAAACAACTAACAATATTTTCTAGGTGAAAAATTACTCCATAAATATTAGGCATTAGAATAGGCTCACTCATATATAGATCATATTTAAATAAATCATGTATTAAAATTATTATGTCTTTAAAATATGAATCCAGGAACATAGTCCAAAATCCTAATGTGATTTAAGTAAAATAAATAAAATTTAAGTAAAAATATATGAGTATTTTAATAGATTGCATTTTACAAGAAATCTGTGTTACCTAAATTTAAGTAACTTAATATGCAAATTGCTACTTTACCGACCTATGAAAGTCTTAAAATGATTACAATAATACTCACATTTTGGTCATTGGTTTCTCTGAATTTTACATTTAAACTTCATGTTACTGAAGTACAATAGATTATATTGGATTTAGTCAAATTTCTTATGCTTTTTCTTAGCAAGTAGAACTTATAAGTAAAGATAGGCAACCCAATAAACCAGATTGAACAGCGCAAAGGCTGTTGGGAAAAATATTCGCGAATAAGAGTCGATTTTGGCAATGCGGATGTGGATCCGCCCTTTCCTCCAGGACCCTGTCCTGCAGTCCTCAAAGCAGCAGAAGAAGCTGGCACAGTCTTTGCCCTCCAGACACTGGTACCCGTGATCGTCTTCAGCTTGTGGCAGAGAAATGCTATTCATTGGAATCAGAGTGGATCCAAGATGGAGTCCAGGAGATATCTGTGTAACATAATAAGTGAGAAAGAGAACAGCATTTTAAAAAAGATCAGTCTGTCCCCGCAAGGTGAATTCTAAGAGAATGCAGTGAAAATAATTTTGGTTTGAAAAATCAAAGAGGGCCCATGGACACCGGCAATAGGGTGGTGAAGACCTGCAGGGGGTGGGTAGGGGTTCCTGGAAGGGGGTAAAGGAAGGGAGGGAAATGGGAGACATCTGTAATACTGTCAACAATAAAAAATAGATATATTATTAAAAAAGAGAAAGAAAAAAGTATTCAATTTTAGAGTGTTTTTATATTATTTACTTTGTAACACACAACTTAATATTATTTTACATCTCGAAGATTTCACATAAACTCTCAAAGATGAAATATATGCTATACCTTCAGAAAGATGATCCACTAAAATATTAACCATAACTGTATTCTATAACAAACTATATTTCTATGATATTTTACTCTGAAACATTTACAATGCCATAAATGTCTACTTGCTATTATATTATATTATGCAAGTTATTTATTTTAGTAATATTGAGAAAAATAGCAAAGGTGACATTTTGATAAACAAGTTTTGAGAAACTGTGAGTGAATTAAAAAATGATGTAATGGGGGTTGTAGTAGTGGATAAGCTCAAGGCATCATACTTTGGGGAAAGAATGGGCAGGAGTTAAAAACTCAAGAGTTCAAACTTTGTCTAATTTTACCAATGTAGCTATCCACAAAGCTAAAATTATATTAGCACCTAATTTTATTTTTATAGCTGTGATGAGTATATTTCATAACTTATGTAAAATGATCAGGCTTCATCTTGCCCATCTTACTATTATTATCAGGGTTATTTGGGATACATGTCAAATTAATTTTTATGAACAGGTTCTGAATAATAATTAAATAAGAAAATATTTTTAAGTATAAAAATTAAGCAATCCAGGATATTATGATACATTAAAACAATCACTTTGGAGTCAGACCAGCTTGGGCAAAAATCCCACTTCTGCCAATAGAGTTGTGTGTGACCTTGAACAGGAAATGTGACTGTTCTTATGCCTCTGTGCCTTCTGCTATACAAGTAACAATGACAACACATGGATCTATTTGGTGATCAGATGAGATAATGTACACAAAGCACCAACCAAACCATTTGAAACATAGCAAGCATTCAGCTGCCAATAGGCACCGCTTAATGTTGGTATTGTTACTGCTTGTATTGATTCCTGAACAGCATCTATATAAAAGCCTAAGCAACCATTACAACAGAACAACCAGAAGGACCAGAACAACTGGTCCTATGATGTGCACTAACCACCAGGGGGCAGATGCTCAATGCAGCTGCTGCCCTTGACCCACAGGCCCTGGTTGCCAGATGGGGCCTGTGGCCAACCTTCCAGTCCCTCCCCCCAACCAGGAGGCCTCTATCACCCAATTGGGGCCAGGCACCAGGCTGGGACAGGGAACTGGGGGTGGGTGTTCGTGATCATGGCCCCTTTTCCAGGGGTGCTGAGGGCCGGCTCCCTTTTTGGGGCCTGCGGCCAACCTCCTGGATCCCTCCCTACAGCCAGCGGGCCCTGATCACCCAAATTGGGGCTGGTCCCTGGGCTGGGATGGGGAACTGGGGATGGGTGTCAGCAACCAACCTCCGGAGGCACCTGGATGGGAGGTTTTGACCTCTCGCTGGCTAGTAGGGTGGGGATGATGGAGACGGAAGTGTGGTAAGAATGCAGGGTGTCTGCCAAACTCCCTCTCACTCCCCCTGCCACCCTCCCCTGGGACACCAGGGTTTACCCAGCAGGGAAGCCCCAGTGCTCAGATGCCAGGTGCCACATGGAGCCCACCACACACCTGCGTGACTTCTTCTAGGTGAGCTGGGCTGCAGCCACTGGGGCCACAGGGACCAAGTTGGGGTCCCCATGGGTTCGTGCAGGAGCTGGTCTGCGAGGCCAGCCGGGAGAGAGTGCGCTGATCTCCTGGCTTCCGTGCAGCATGGCTGGGTGGCCTAGAGGCCCATGCTGCGCCCTGGCCCACGGCATCTGGTCGTGCTCACATCTCCGCGTGGGGACTCAGGCACCCTGACTCAGGCAGAGTCGGGCATGTGGGGGCCCAGGGGTCCAGGTGCTGCTAGGGACCAGAGGTCAGCTGGGACCTGCCCTTCCATGCCAGATACTGGCACTTCGATTGCTGGCCAGGCCTAGGGACCACACCCGTGCACAAATTTCATGCACTGGGCCTCTAGTATATCATAATTGGCTATACAGTATGTTAAAACAACCAAGAATAAAAACCCAGATCTTATAAAAAAATGGTTATCAGAAAAAACATTAATAACTCCTTGAATATAATGGCAAGTAAAATATGAATGGAGATTGCAGTTGTAGTAACACTTATTCTTCAAAACTTCTGCATATTTAGGGTTTATCTTAAGATGAGATTTTACAGCTTATTATAATCAGTGGTTTTATTGTCTAAACAGCAAGTACAATGTTGACATTATTAAAATTGTTTTAACCTTATCTAAATTCTTCTAATGAAAATGTTCATATATTTTTAGTCTTAAATTTAAAATAAATATATCACAAAGCCATGACAAATAAATATTGTATGGGAAGATTTTAAAAGTGAAAAACAAAACCTTATAACTTCTTAAAATGTGAATTTACATTTAAATCCATTTTATTTCTAAAGAGGAATATAGACTCCAAACCACTAAATTATAAAAATTCAGTGTATGCAAACAGAAGCAAATAATCACATTTTGTGATATTTTAAAAAGATAAATGCATCAGACAAGTCATAATATCCATATTAAAAACAAAATGTGCAGCCTGAAGATAAGGAGAAATGCCCTAAGCACAAATAAATTTATGACTCCACCAGCTTAGATGTATCATAAAAAGCAGAGACAGCGTTTATTAAATGTTAATAAAAGATCTTTTCAGGTTGACACTTGTGGATACTTTATAAGACTCCTAAATTTTAGTGGAGCACTGAAATGATGTAAAAAACGGAAACATTTGTATTCATTTCCCTGTCACTTAAAACTTAAATAGTTTAAATGCTCATCAGAGTGAAAAGTGATTAAAATACAAGTTTGTTATTTGGGAATTTCAAGGCTATATGGTATAAAACACATTTCATATATCACTCAGAACTGCCATAAATGGAAATGCAGTGTGTTTGTCAGAAAATATCGATTGTATATGAAAGGGATGATTAAACACTAACGTGCACAAAGAGAGAAAAATTGAGAGTGAGTCACTTAAAAAATGGATTAATCCCTAGTGGTCAAAGTCATGGAAACCTCCTATGACAGTGACACCTTTATTGACAATTTTCTAGTTTCCTGCTGTCCCCCAAAGCACCAAAAATTCAGAAATTGAGAGAAACTACACTTTAATGATTGATTAATGTGAATAGAAATATACATTATAAGTGATGAAAAAATAGTCTAAAAGCTGATGCAATACCAATAAAATGAATATTTTGATTGGCAGATCTGTCACCCAGAAACTACTGAAAGGTTAATCAGAATACAAACATTCCAAACCTTATTTATCTGAAGTGCAACTATATTACCCAGCGTGTAACTCTTCAAGTAAATATCCTCTGCCCCCCTCCCAAAATAGCAAGGATTGAAAAAATAAATGAGTTTAAGTGATTAAAAAAAAGAAATGACAAAATTAAATAAAATTTACTCTTACTTTGAATGATAAAGTTTTGAGAACATACCTTTTTTCATTATTTCAAAAGTCACTAAGAATATAGCTGAATGAAACATTTTGAAAAATGGATTACATTCTTCTTATTACATATGCATATTATCTGGTTGAATATTAAATAGTATATTACATATATTAGTAACTTGGTTAAATATACAAAGTACATTTTAAGTACCAAGACATACTTCTAGCAATTAAATATTATTAAATAGTAAATAAAACATTTATGAACAAATTATATGTGTGTGTATTTACATGATATAATTATTACATCATATGTTAACATCATTAATGATATGTTATCAAATATTAGTCATATGAATAGAATACATCATTAGGTCATGTTATTGATATTATATAATAGTGACTAATATTACTATTATTAAATTGTTTATTTAAAAAGTTGTACTTGAAAATGCTAACCTAAGCATCTGTTTTCTCCTCTCGCAAAACCAGTCAGAATTTCAAAACTTACAAAATGCACTTCAGTGTTAAAAACACATGAAGGTGAGTCTTGGTGATGCTGAGCTGCCCGTCAGCATGCCAGAATTTGTGATGAGTTTATAACAGGCAAAGAGCAGATGGACACAGGCCAATGGATAAAGCTGACTCAAGGAAGCCACACTAAGAAAAAGCTCAGGGAATGGGAGCAGGATGTGGGATTTGTTCTGTCCATCAAAGTTTCCGAGTGCGGGAGTTGTTTTGCCCACCAACACTGACTTGAGGTAGGAAGCATGGAAATGATATACAGGACCACAATATGGCCTTAAATGTTTTACATGTCCATCCCCAGAAGAGCTGCAGATAGCCTCGTCTCAGCGCTACACACTTGTTAAGTCAGTGTTTCACTGTGTTGGAGCATGAAATCAAGATATTTCAATAAAACATATCCTTTAAAAGATGTTTTACTTATGCACATCAGAGGGAATAGTCTGCGTCTGAACAAGTATTTGAAACCAGTCAGTTAACTGCTAATTCCCTTGGAGTCTCTTTGTTTACTTTTGACTTTTACATTGGACTGCTATTTGTATTGCACATTGGTATCTGGCATTTACATATCTACTGTACTTTTCTACAACTAGATTTGAAGATCCTGAAAGCAGAAAACACATTCTATCATTTTTCTCTCCAAAGTGTCTTGTTCATGGCTGGTGAAATAAATCTCTATCATTTTACATTTTAATCAAATTGAGAGATTATTAAGTTCTGTCCTCTAACGGGTATACCAGGCCACTGGTGTGAGTATAAGATAGTTTCCTGAGATTTCTAATCATCTATATGTTGAGTATTCTAATTTCAAAATTAACTACTCTTCAGTTGGTAATGATTAGTTTACTACTATTGTATTAATGTGACCTTTACCTGATTCATAAATAATGTTAATTACATGTTCCAACATAGTTAACTTTTTAGTTCTTGGGTTTTGTTTTGTTTTGGAAAATATATGTTGACTCAAACATACAAAAATCATATTTTTAATGAGTAGAAATAAAAACATAATGACATATATTGGATGGGAACATGGACCAAATCAAAATGTCATTGACAATCACAATGAATACTAAAGAAGAAAGGAAAAGAATGTAGAAAAGAGAAAAGAAGAACTTAAGGAAGAAAGGATAGAGGAAGGAAGGAAGGAAGGAAGGAAGGAAAGTAGAAAGCATCCTAATTGATTTATGTTTTTCTAAGAGGGTTCATTGAAGCCAAAAAATCTATTGTGTTAAAATATCAGCTGTTTCTAATGAAAATAAATTGGGGTATTCTGGGATCCTCAGTTAAGTTGTCATAAAGACATCAACAAAGGGGATTTTTGGTTTTGCTCAATAACAGACTTATTGACCATTCACTGACTTTAGTCAAAGTTTTTGGTCCTGGTCTGACTATTATCATAGTAATTTAAGGTTAAAAAAAGGAAAAATACTGTATTTTAAACTACTCAGAATTTTGAGCTTATAAAAAATGTAGGGAGATGGAAGGAAGGTGAAAGAAGGAGGGAGGAGAGAGGAAGAAAAGGGGAGAGGGAGAGAGAGAGAAAAGGAGAAAGAGAGAGAGAAAGAGTGGGGAGAGAGGGAGAGAGAGAGAGAGAGAGAGAGAGAGAGAGAGAGAGAGAGAGAGAGAGAGAGAACTTCTCTGTCTAGGTTGTGCATTTGATTACTGTGACTGAAACAGAAGAAAATCAGATACACAAAGCTCTTAGATAGGTTATTTGAGAAAATAGCAAGCAGAGTTGTCTATTCTTAATAAGAGTGTACTCATATTGATTTTACCTGATTAGCAAGAATATGACTGAACCAGGCAGGGAGTCAGATTTGATTACTGATCTCAGTTTTTCACTCAAAGTGACATTTACTATTGAAAGAGCTCATGAATCACAGAAAGTAAGACTATAGAACTTTCTTGTGGCTAGCTCTAAAGAAAATAATTTTTGTACCCAGGTAGTCAATTATAAGAGGTCAAATTTCACTTTTATCTGGCTTTGAAATATAGTGCTTCAAAGGGCTCATTTATTTTTTTAATGTGCTCTATCTATTATTTTCTTCATTGATTAAGGTATTACATATGTGTCCTCATTTAATTTTTATTCCTTATTTTTTCACCTTTAGTATTTTTGTTTCCTGGGCCTTATGTTAAATTTTGAATACTCAGCATGTATATTTTGTATCAAATAACTATTCTAAAGCAGTGCTTAGAACAAGGGTGACTTTAATAAATATTTGGTGAATGAATAATTAAGTAAACATCATAATAGTACAGTCTGCACTCCAGTTTGTAGCTTCCTGAGTAAATGTGATATGCAATGTGATTGAGAGTGCATGATGTAGAATCAAAGTGATTTGCAGCAGCCACTTATTGGTTGAGTGTCCTTAGATGCTATAAAAAATAGTACCTACATGATATTCTTAGAATTAGATTGGAGAACGCATGTGATATTGTACCCTGACTGACTTTCATCCCCAATTTCCAAAAGTAAAATTTCAAGGTAGTACCTGAACATAGCTATGGATGAATATATGATGAAATGGAAAATCCAGGAGAGGATGATTGGCTTTGATTCAAGGAAAATGGTAGAAAACCTGCATTTTTCCTTACCTAAAATGTAGCAGATCAATATTAAAGGTCACATCATTGTCCTTTGATAATTTGCCCACTTAGGGGTTATAATATGTGCTATGCATAAGTTAAAATAATGTTAACTTGAGACACTCGTAGGCTAATTCTACAATGTAAGTTCTCAAATGTGGACTGCCAGTTAATGCACTCTGCTTTCTTGGAATATTGTGGGAATCTGAAAACAAATTCACAAAGATTTGTGCCTTAGAGTATTACATGAAAAGTAAAATATAATTTATAAGTATGGCAAAGCTTTATAAAGAAACTAATGAAAAAAGGGGAGGGAGAAAAATCATCGAATTCTAGAACTTACAAGTTTAGGAGATAATGTGGAAAACTCTACGCCTCACTGTATAAACACTATGGGAGGCTTATCGTGGCTATTTGATACAGTTGCCATTTATTTGGGTATTTTGGAACAAATCCACATTGAAATCATTTTCTGCAGTCAGCAGCGAAGTGCCTTTTTAAATTAATATTGGAGAAACGGATGTTTCCTTTCTGAGTTCTCTGAGAAAAGGTAATAAGGGTTACAAACTTGAGCTCTGGCACTAAGAAAGACCTGGGTGTGAGTCATGGGTCCTTCACTTCCTGCGGCTGTCCTTGTGCACATTATTGAACTTGTACTCATATGAGCATAATGAAACCACACATGTAAAACACTTAGAGGAACACCTGATGTGATCATTGTTAGATATTACTTGAAGGTTTTAAAGTGGCCATTATAACAAGAAATTATAGTCAATCATCCAACACTTGAGTATCTTAGAATCAATTATATCAACTTGATGTGACATAAGTTAGGATAGGTACATGATGGGGAAGAGGGAGTAGTAGAGTATCAATATGCAGAAACAAACAAAACAAAAAAACCAACAAAGAACAAAACCTGTATGGCTATGCCTTTCAAACACAGCTGAATACCAATGTTAAAGAGGAATCTTTGTCTCTACAAGGAAAGTTAATTTTGTGGGCCACCTGTTTTTCAAATTCTAAACACAAATGTAGGATCTCTTTAAGGAATGATCTTAAACACTTTTTTTAGGTATAAGAACCTAGCACTTAAAAGTCACGGCACAGGAAACCAGTCTCTACAAAGGTGACCCAAGAGTCTCTTCCAAGAGGAAATACACGAGTAAATGCACTCTCCTTGGTGGGCAACGGGAGGAGCTCCAGTTTCATTTTATTTTTGTTCCTATTTTGTCAGGGTTCCTCGAGCACCCATGCTTGCCTAAGTAAGCATGACATGAGCATTTACACAGCACCTCTAACGTTACAGTGCCATTTAGAAAATGAAGATGGTCACGTACCGAGGCCTTGTGCTTTAGCTTTCTGTCTCTAGCAGCCTTTGCTCGCTCGTTGCTGGTAAAATAGTGCAAGGTGCCATATTCCATCAAGGCTGCAAAAACGAAAATGAAACACACGGAAACAAAGAGATCCATCGCCGTCACGTAGGAAACCTTAGGCAAGGACTTCCTGGCTATGGTACTCAGAGTGGTCATGGTCAGAACTGTGGTAATGCCTGCGGAGGGAGGGAGACAAATAGAAGAGGAAAAATAACCTCACAGGCCGTTTTCATCCTCTCTTCTGATCTGGCAATATTGTGAGCAGCAATAAACAATGGACACAAAAGGGTATGATTACTGTGATTTACAGGGGGGGGGAAAAATACTGGTAACCATAGCTACATTATGTTCAATGTGTCCGTGTTTTAGTCATCTAAATTCTGTGGACTGCAAGCACGTGACTCCCTGTACCCATCCTTCCCTTGCTCTATAGGTACAGACTATTCAATGTTTAACTGTCACAAGGCTGCCTGTACACCTACTTTTACCGCACCCTGCAAAAAGGTATTTATTTTATGTGTTCTTAAAGGGGATACTTAGACTATAGACTTCAAATCTTTCTTCCTTTCTAATATCAGCATTATAAAGCTATAACTTCTGCCAGGCTGGTATGGCTAAATGGATTGAGCGTTGTCCTGTGGACCAAAAGGCCCCGGATTTGATTCCCACCCAGGTCAGGGCTCATGCCTGAGTTATGGGCTCGATCCCCAGGAGGGGGCATGCATGAAGCAGCCGATCTATGTGTCTCTCTCATCGTTGATTTTATCTCTTTCTCCTTCTCCTTCCCTCTCCCTCTAAAAATAAATAAAAACATATTTAAAGCTATAATTTCCCTTTAAGCAATGCTTTACCTGTGTCTTGCAAATATTTATATATATATTAAATATCTATTAGATTTTTTTTGAAATATTTTCTAATTTCTCTTTTGATCCAAGGGTTATCTAAAAGGTCAAGCTTTAATTTCTAAATATATGAAGGCATTATTATCCATATTATTTTAGAGTATATTTTATGATATACTCTGGAAAATTTTAGTCTTGAATTCTATCGTGTTATTAAGCAGATTCACTAATGTTTCCTCTATGGCTTTCCTGCTCAAAATCCTATAATCTCCTACCACATTTGGAATAAAAACCAAGAAGTCCTTAAAGTCCTTAGAAAAACTTACTAAACTTTATGTAATCTCACCACTGCCCACCTCTGCAATCTCATTTTTTACCACTTGTCAGTCAGCCCCAGCCACAGTTACCTTTCTGAACTCCAAGCATGGCATGGCGAGGAAGGTCCGCTTCAGAACCGTCTGTTCTCCCTGCCTGCACCATCTTTCTACCAGTTATCCACCAGGCCAGCTGCCGCACCGCCCCAAGTCCCTGTTACCTCCTCAGGGGTCTAGCCCGACTCCACAAGATAAAATAGCAAACATTACGTCTATCACCATCTAGGGCATTCTCTAGCCATTTTTTGCCTTCTCTTTATAACCTGTATTACTCACTGACATTTTTTCTATGCTTTTTATATTTGTACATTAACTCTATATGCCACAAAAACATAAATGCCATAGACATGAGGATTTCACAAATATTGTTCACTGATAATACTAAAGCGCCTAGAACGCTGCCTCTTTCATCAAAAGCATTTGATACAAGTTTGTAAAAATGCAATGTGGAATAAATGAGCTCAGAATTTTCCTTCAAATATAAAAAGCTTTATATTCCAACTACATAGGATCCATAATTATAAGATATTCTTCAAGTTAGATCTGAGTATCCTTTATCTTTAAACTTGATATACTAATATTAAAAATATTAATTCATGCAAAAATTCCACAACTGGCTATTCTCTTTCATGAAGCTGTGGAATATGATTTTTGGCTTCAGACACACCCAATAGTGTAATTAATTTATTCAAATCCTTTTTGGAAAAATACAAGAATAATGTTTTAAAACAAAAATATAATATCTGTTATATTCAAAGCAGCATATAAATAATCTAAAATCATTTCTTTTCCCTTGGCATGAAATGTAATTTGAAATTACAATTATTTTAAATAGAAAACAAATCTCAGGTATGAGTGCATTTTATCCCCTAGCTATGTCTACACTTCTGCTTAGACTCCCAAAGGAAATGCGTTTCCAAGCATAGAGCTGGATGCCTCAGGCTTTATCTTGCTACTTTTATGTGATTTGCATTTTACTGTATTTATGAGTGAAGTTATTCACCAGCTATCATAGAAACAAAATGAAAATCTCTTTGCTGTTGAAAAAAGCAAAAGCTCTAACTTTCTTTGGTTTGTAAGACACAATTTTCTGTAATGTGATTCACTTCCTGCACTATTGTATTCTTGGGAATTGATCAATGAGTTGTCTTTGTATATATTTTTTAAATATATTTTATTGATTTTTTACAGAGAGGAAGGGAGAGAGATAGTTAGAAACATCGATCAGCTGCCTCCTGTACACCCCCCACTGGGGATGTGCCCACAACCAAGGTACATGCCCTTGACTGGAATCGAACCTGGGACCCTTGAGTCCGCAGGCTGATGCTCTATCCACTGAGCAAAACCAGTCAGGGCATCTTTGTATATTAATTCATGAGTTTAAGGTGTCATCTATAATAATGAAAGCATAGTATGCTAATTAGACCAGACGTCCTTCTGGATGACCTTCCGGACGAAGCCAGGGCTGCTAGGGAAGCCTGGGTCCTAGGTGCCTGCTGGCGGCCAGAGAGAAGCCCGGACCCCGGGTACCAGAGGGAAGCCAGTGCCAGCAGCTGAGGGAAGGAAGGCTTACTCTTTCATGAATTTTGTGTATCGGGCCTTTAGTTTTTTAAACAAATGTATAGTAATTAGAAATTTTTTTATATGATGTTGATTATTGTCATGGGTTGCTAAAGAATGAAAACAAAAGTCTATTATAAATTACAAATTACCTTTTAAATCAGTGTTATGTTACAGGAAACTCTCAGAAGTATTCACAGACTACGTCCACAGTCTATAGATTACCAAAGCCTATAAGATAATTGTTTCTGCCCTGGCCAGTGTTGCCCAGTGGCTAGAGCACTGGCCTGTACACCAGAGGGTTGCAGTTCCTTCCTGGTCATGGGCACATGCCTGGGTTGCAGGTTCCTTCCCTGGCCCCGGTCAGGGCACATGTGGTACACATCAATAGTTCTCTCTCTCTCTCCCCCAGCCTCCCTCCCACTTTCTCTAAAAATCAATGGAAAAAATATCCTTGGGTGAGGAGTAATAACAACAAGAAGATTCTTGTTCCTTTCAGCAACCTGCCCTTTAGAACAGTTGACTATTCATTAGCACCATTGTCAGAGTAAGGCACTTCAAAGCCTTCTTAACACACGCTAGTCAATAAATGTTGGCTATTAGTGATCCAGCTGAAAAAAGAAAATAAAATCTTGATGAAAAGTGATTGCAATTGTTGACTAAATTAAATTCAGTGATTCTGTATGATTTTTATGTGTTAATTCTTGCTGTGTATGCATGCTTTCCTTGGCCTCTAGTAGTGGAAACAATAAAAATATTTTCTGAAGTTTTAAATTCTTTGCATTCCTATTTCATTTTGCTTTTCATGTATGCATTTCAACACTATATTGCAGTAGAGTAACTTAATTTTTGCTTGATTGTAGTGTAGAGGAATATTCTAATATATTCAACAATAAACTTTATCACATTAAAATATTTGTAAAAGTCCCATGACACTATAGCATAATATTATATGTCTTACCCAGTGAGGTTCTTGCAGGTACTGCATCTTTATTGATCCAGAAAGACACCCAAGAAAGAACAACTGTCAGAATACATGGGATGTAGGTCTGAATAGTGAAATATCCCATTCGTCTGCTCAGGTCAAAAAAAATTGTCATGATAACATAATCCCCTGAAAGAAAAAAAAAGGTTTTATTTTGGTTATAAAATAAATACAAAAGTATAGATTCCAACCCATAGAAATACAATGCTATTTCACTAATTTTGTGTTTCTTTCTTACCAGAGATTGTGTGATAAATTTCAGTTGAGTTCCGCAACCCTACAAATGCAAACTGATATAATCTCCAATATTTAGGATCAGCCACTTCTACAGAAGGTTTTTTCCACTTATATTCAATTTCATTTTTAGGGTATCCATCTAGATAATATATTGAAATAAAATATATAAATTAGCAAGATCCAAATCTGTTACAGTTACCAGATCAACATTATCCAAAGACAAATTTTTTGAAATTCTTCTTCACTCTTCTACTATATGTCAAAAAATACCCCATAAAACTTGTGTATATTTTAAAGAATAATGATAATTCATGTGACTCCACATAAATTAGGAAATAGAACCCTGCTAGCATCCAGGAAATCTCATGTGACAATATAGCATTTCCTCTCCCAACTAGAGGTAAACACTAACCTGCTTTCTCAGATAATTCTTTAATTTTTTGTAGTTATAGATATTTTGGTATGCACTTCTGAAAAAAATAGTTTATATTTCGAACTCTACTTGATTGCTGCTTTACTGAATTATTATTTTATATTTTGCTTCTTTAAAAATATTTATGCAGCCCTGACTGGTTTGGCTCAGTGGATAGAGCGTCGGCCTGCAGACTGAAGGGTCCCAGGTTCGATTCCAGCCAAGGGCATGTACCTTGATTGCGGGTACATCCCCAGTAGGTGTGCAAGAGGCAGCTGATCGATGTTTCTGTCTCATCGATGTTTCTAACTCTCTATCCCTCTCTATTCTTTTCTATGAAAAATCAATAAAATATATATTAAAAAAATAAAAATATTTATGCAGTGGATTTTTTTGTATAATGTTTTGTATCCTGCAACTTTACTGTATTTGTTTACTGTTTCTAATAGTTTTTTGATGGAGTCTTTAGGGTTTTCTATATATAGAATCATATTATCCACAAAAAGTGACAGTTATACTTCTTCTTTATTTGGGTGCTTTTTATTTCTTTCTCATCTTATTGCTCTTGTTAAGACTTCCAGGACTATCTATATATCCTATCTAATAATAGACAAACATGGTAATTAACCATACCTCTGCTACGCTTACCATTGGCTAATCAGGGCGATATGCTTAATTTGCCAACCAAGATGGCGGCTGACAGCCACGCAGCTGAAGCGAACATGAGGCTTGTATGTCCCGGTGATGGAGGAAGCCAAGATTCCCCGCCTGCTGCAGCCGGGCTCTGAGCTGCACTCTAAGCAACTATGTTGCAATTATAGAAGCTAAACAAACCCCAGATACCTGCTTTCAGCCAGCTGGCCTCAGAGCTGGAGCCACAACGAAGTTTCAATTACAGAAGGTAAATAAATCCCAGAATAAAAAAGAAAAATGAAAAAAAGGAGAGACTGGGAGCTTCAGTTGCAGGCTTGGCCCACCTGAAAACAGCCCTCAGCCCCTCATCCAGACTGGTCAGGCACCCCAGTGGGGATCCCCACCCTGAAGGGGGTGGGGACAGCCTTAAAACAGCCCTCAGCTCCTCATCCAGGCTTGCCAGGCACCCCAGTGGGGACCCCCACCCTGAAGGGTGTGTAACCAGCTGCAAACAACCATCATCCCCTCAACCCAGGCTGGCCAGGCACCCAGTGGGGGCCCCCACCCTGTTCCAGGACACCCTTCAGGGCAAACCAGTGGGCCCCCACCCATGCACCAGGCCTCTATGCTATATAGTAAAAGGATAATATGCCTCCCAGCACCGGGATCAGCGGAGCCGCAAGGCCTCCCGGCACTGGAATC